ACCACAATTCGTCTCGGAGAAAATTGAAAAAAACTTTATATACTTTTCACATATTAATGGTGTATTGTCCCATGCTAAATACCAAAAAAAATCATAAAAAAATATTTTTTGAAATTAACTTGCCCATTATGAAGTAACATAAAAGTTACCAACTTGAACATAGGAGTTAGTGTATTTAAAAAATTTCTACCCACCACTTTACAGCGAAAATGATAGAAACACTTCCAGTCACTGGAAGTGTTTTACTATTTTTATTATAATTCTTTGGTTTAAAAATCAGGATACACATTTTTTTTATATTAAATAATTTTTTATGCACAAGTTAATAATTTGTATGCTATTGCAATATGAGCAAGTTTATTTCAAAATTATTTTTTTTTATTTTTGACATTAGCAAGGAACAATACATCTTTAATAGACTTTAAAATCGATTAAATAAGCCTTGGAAACCCCTAAATTGTCATATTTTCGGGGGCTGCGTACCCTGGACCACTTTCGAAAGGTTTTTTTAGCGACGCCCGACCACGTCCACTTTTAACTCGTCGGGAACATCAGCCTCCCCGTCGGGGACTTTGGACTCCCCCCCCCCCCGTCGGAGACATCCTGGTGCCGCCACAGATAATTTCCTCCAAGTGAGAAACAAATCAAACCAAACCAGGACTCTCTCATTTGTCTTTACACCTTTATCGTGTCTTTTTACCTTCATACTCGACCATAGATTGAAACAATGCTGTGACAGCCACAAGCCCCAAGCTGACAACTATTACGCAGACAATAGACTTATTCTTAGCTCGTCCCATTTTTTCCCTGAAAAAAAAAATAATATAATAGTAATAATATTATTATTAATAATATTATTAATAACAATGATGATAATGATCTAATTTTAAATGTTAGCTTTTATGAGTTGAAGAATCACTAGATAGTTGATTTAAAACTGGGGTGGGGAGGTGGAAAAATGTCGGTAATCCCCTTTTTCCCCAATTATTCAAAAATCTGTATCACGTACTAACCGTTTCCATGTTTTAGTTAGAATTTGGAAAAATGATAGCCTACCTTTACCTCGGAATTCACTAATTGAAATTGAGTTTTATCGAAAACGCCGTGTCTCCGAATCAGGATTGTCTAATAATTAACCCAGACCTATGAGACAATATAAATAGAATGGTCAACGTTTGTAAATGGAGATCCAATATCAATCAATAAAACTATTGAACTTCAGTCACAGTGGATAGCAAACTCCTGCACCTGTTCACAATAACATGGTTAAATTAATTTAAAAATTATGATATGAAAGAAAAATAATTATCATCTTCCGCCATTTTGAAATATATTTGTGTTGGGATTTTTAAGTGTTGTGACTTTTTAACCTGTAGTTAAGTTACCGTGTAGTAACTAAATATTATTCTATTTCGCACGGGGCTTCATGGGAAAATTAATTTGTTTTCAATGCTCCTTCAATTCATCATCTCTGTTCTTACATTTATGCTATTTTAATTGTTTTTAGTATTTTATTTGATGTTTGAATTGCAATAACGTTACTTGATACTAAAACATCTTCCGGTAATGCTTTAAGGTTATTAATGAAACCATTTAATTTATTTGACATACAAGATTTAACATGGATTAGAGCTATTTCGACCCTAAGTATGGTGTACTGACAGCAGTGTAATAACATATATAAGCATATATAT